TCTCTCTCTCTCTCTCTCTCTCTCTCTCTCTCTCTCTCTCACTCATACTTTCTCACTAAGCCAATGACACGCTGCAACAAAATATGGTAAAATTGGTGTTGTGAAGGACGTATGCAGTACCTCGATCATCTCGGACCGTTATTTTCTCTTGGAGGAACAGTTTTTTTCACCTTATTACGGCAACTTGTGCTTTTCACAGCGTTTAGTAACCGCAAGCGTGTTATCGAGTCCATTTTCTTTTATCGATCGTAAAGTAAGTCGTACAAGCACCGTGTGTGTATGTGTGTATCTCATCGTGTTTGCGTCCTCTGCTTCGCTTATTTTTTTGTTTTTTTTTTTTTTACTCCACGAGTATCATTAATTATCACCTAACTTGGCATCCCTGCGGTATACTCGTCGCGGCAGGACACGCGGAGGAGTCCCTCTGCTGAACGGAACTACCGTTCTCCTCCTCCTCTTCCTCGTCTTCCTCCTCCCTAGAAGACTCCTCCTCCTCTTGCTGGGCCTTATTGATCGCCGGGTTTCTCATCTCGTTCGTAAGGTCGGGACTCGGCTCGGGTTTCTCCGTCGTTAAACTGGACTCCTCGCCGTGGTCCGCCGGCGGGCCTTTCAACTCGTAGCCCTCCTGGCAGCGGGTCAATTTTAACCTAATCGGCGTGACTTTCGCCGAACGGACGTTCCTCGGCGCGCTGCCGCCAGTGTCCGGGTCGGTGGGCTGTTTCTCCTCGATGTTGGCAGCCACCGACGGGTAAACAGGCTCGTCCTTGGCCGGCTCCGGAGGCGGAGGGCCTACTCTGCTGTCGGTCGGGTGTCGTTCCTCTTCCTCCTCCTCTTCCTCGTCGGTGAGCAAGATCGGCAGCTCCTCCGGCGAGTCGTTACTACCCTTGCACAGTCTTATTATCAGCTTCGGCGGCGCGGTACCACCCTCCAGTATGCGGACCCTGGCCTCCTTCTTGCTCGACTGTCGTTTCTTTCGTTTGCCGTTCTTGTCCTTCTTGCTCTTGCCTCGCAGTTTCTCGTCGTTGTCGAAACCGGCCATGATCATACGCCTGAACTTCATGCTCTCTCGCCTGAGTTCCTCGATGCTCGGCGTGCTGCTAGGAATGCTGCTCAATCGTTTCTTCGGCGGCCTGATCCTCGTCCTATCGTCCTGGCCGCTCTCCTGCCCGCCGATTATGCTGTTGCCGATCTTGATCTTCAGCTTCGGCGGCCCGCTGTTCGTGGTGGTGGTGGTGCTCGTGG